GTGTCTACCTTAAACAGATGAAATGGAATTTATATTTAAAAGATTCTATAGTAATCGTCCTTTTATTATTTATATACATATTTTTTCTAGTAGATTTGACATTCCTGTGAATAACATTATATAATTTGCACATATTTAACACCCTAACCACTGACAGTAAAAATCTTATAGAGTATGTGGCTGAAATTGAGTGACCAAATAAAATTTCTTCCTTTTGTAAACCTCCATACATCCCCATCTTGAATCCATTCTGAAAGAGGTGAAGGTGTGAATTAATTTCCTGTAAAGGGAATTTTTTCTTCCTGTGACATAGAAGTGAGAGCATAATCCATTTTCACCTCATTACATTTCAATCGCCTCCTCTACGGGGCATTCGCAAGTCGTATCTTCAAGAGAGAACAATTCTTTCAACTCCCTGCTGGAAACTTTGCTTTCAATTAATTATTTTCAGAATAAAAACCTAATAAAGATTTTGTATTGGTTGAGCTCTCTGGTTTCAGGAAGTTTTGCTGAGACTCTGGTTCATCCAGGCTGCAGGTTTATTAGAAAAATATGAATATGATTGTTAAGATATTGCCATGGAAGATCCTTGTAGATATGTGCATGTAATTAACAAGATGACAAACTAAAATCTGAAAAATTCCTTATCATGCTTTGCTCTACCATTGAAATCTTCTTCAGAATAAGTATCCATTTCCTTTGTAGTCTTTCCTTCCTATCAAGTCTCAAACTTCGCCCTTCCACAAATATGTCAAAACAAAAAATTATGAAGACAATACATGGCACTTCTCTGCCTGCCTTTCCAAATAGGAGTATATGGTTATGGGCCTAATGTCATGGTTCAGATTTTCTGTAACCTTTAATTATATTTTCTGATACTAATATAAATCTATTAATGTTTTCAGTAACAAAGTATTGTATGGTATTAAGAATTGAGCCCAGTATTTCACCTGTGCTAGATAAGCACTCTACCACCCAGTTATGTCCCTAATCACTATTTTTAGTATTTGTCTGGCATAACGTTATTCCATCATCTTATTTTCAAAGTTTCTGAGTTCTAGTATTGATATGCTGCCTTTTTAAAATGGCATATGTTAACAATAAATAAAGAAAAAGAAGTTAGAGGCCATGAATTTAAAAGAGAGTAAGGAGTGAGGACAAATGTAGGTGGGACTGGAGGAAGAAAAGGGAAAGGTAGAAATAATGAAATTATATTTTAGTTTAAAATGAAAACATGCACATAGTTGTGTTCTGAGTGTGTATCCAGAAACACTCATAAAACAAACAAAAATCCCATAGTGGCAAGCTGGGTGTTGTGGTAGTACATACCTGTAGACACAGTACTTAGGAGGCTGAGGTAGGAAGATCACTATTAGCCTGAGATCACCCTGTGCTAAATAGTGAGTTCCAAACCAGTCTCGGCTACATAGTAAGACCCTATCTCAACCTAATCCTCAAATATGGATGTAGTTACTGTATTAGTCAGGGTTCTACAGAGTAACAGAACCTACAGAATGAATCTCTCTCTCCTCTCTCTCTCTCTCTCTCTCTCTATATATATATATATATATACACATATATATGTATGTATGTATGTATGTATGTATGTATGTATGTATGTATGTATGATTTGTTAGAATGCTGTGGTCCAGCAAACCCAACAATGGCTTCCTATGTACAGAAGGCCCAAGAAGCCAGTAATTGTTCAATCCATGAGAGGGGATGTCTCAGCTGGTCTTCAGTATACAGTGGAATCCTGAAGGAGTAGGTTTTATGCTAGTGAAGGAATGGACTTGTTAGTGAGGTGAGAGCAAGCAGGCAGAGAGCAAAAGTGTCCTTCTTCTACCTGTGTCCCAGATTATAAGTGGGTCTTCCCACTTCAAAGATCTGGATTAGAATTGGATCTTTCCACTTCATGTTAAGCAAAAATCCCTTTCAAGTGTGCCCCTCCATTTGGGGGTCTTAATTAATTTCAGATGTGGTCAAGTTGATGATCAAAAATATTCATCATAATTACAGTAGTTTTCATAATGTTCAAGCGTATTTTTTTCTGGATTATATGTGTATGCTCATTTAAGGTTTGTACCTAAATGGAATAATTTCATGGCCCCCAAAAGCTCCTTCCTGTCCTCTCCCAGTATATATTTCCCAAAGATACCTATAATGACTTTCCTGGTTATAGATGGGTCTTGACAGTTATTGTTCTTGATATAAATGACATTGCATAGTATACATTCTTCAGCACTTCATTTTTTAAATGTAATTTAAAAATTTTAATTGACTACTAGGGGTCGGAGAGAGGACTTAGTGGTTAAAACACTAATCATTTGTATATATCACAGAATAACTATATCAGACAAACACATCTATCTTTGACATAATTATCATTTTGTCAAGAAAATGTTTACTATCAATCTGTCATTTACAGTTTTGAAATATAGGATGCTTTATTATTAACTACTGTCACTTCAGTATATAACAGGTCTTGAAGCACATCTTGTTCTCTCCCCCCTTGAAAATTATTGTGAGATTCATCCTTGTTGTTGTCTTGTAGTCTGTTGTTTTATATTATTTTGTTTTCTTTGTTTATATAAATATACAACAGTGTATCTGTTCCCTCTCCTAGCAACTGACCTTTGCATTATTTTCAGTTTGTAGATGTTTTAAATAAAGATGCTGTGGTTAACCATGCTTGTGTTGTGAAGAGAGCTCATCTTTCTGTATAAAGTTGAAATTGCTAGATTGTAGTGTACAAGTATGATTAGCTCTATGAGATTCTGGCAGATATCATTCAAATTGATACATTCACCAAGAATCTTTTTATTATTTATTTGTTTTGTTTTTTGGAACAAGATTTCTTTGTGTAGCCCTGGCTATCCTGGAACTCACTCTGTAGACAAGGCTGGCCTCAAACTCACAGAGATTGGCCTGCTGATAAGAAACCATAGCAAATGGCCAATAGCGTTAAAATTAATATAGTGTCTCATGTTACAGGAGAGCTAAAGCTAAATAAAAAGACCCGAAAAAACTAAAAAGCAAGCAAACGGAAAACAAAATCATCAAAAATAATTGGTAGTCTTTGTTTCTAAAACTTGATTTATAGATTTCTTTCCATATTCTAGTCATATTTTAAAAAGATACTGTAGTAATTCTCCCTTTTTTACTTATATATTTATATTTTTAGTAGATTTAGTATTCTATGAATTACATTATGTAATTTTCTTATATTTTACACTGAAACCACTGAAATCGAGTAAACATCTTATACAGAGTAGTGGTCAAAACTGAGTATATATGTACTGTGAATATCTTCTTTAGATTCATGGGTTTCCATTTTCTTCTCTCACTGGTGTGTTTTGATGAGCAGAAGGTTTTAATTTTGATGAGATACAATTTTTCACGTTGCCCTTTTAGTGATGGTGTCCCAGCGTAGAAAGTTTGACTAACCTGGAAGTCTTTAATACATTCTCCTATACTTCAGCAGTTTGTATCCTTTATTACATGGGGTGATTTAAAGCATGGATCAGGTGCTCTTTTATTGCAAAGACCATCTTTCCCTATTGGTAAACAGCAATGTAGTCTTTGTTACTATTCAAGTCTTTGTTTTACAAATGTCACTCAATTCCACTGTTTTTTTTTCTGTTTTTGAACTGTTGTCTTAATTATTAGAGATTAAGAATATCTCTTAAAAACTGAGAATGAAATTAAAATTTTTTCTTTGATTTTCAATGTTTCTTGCTTGTTCTGGGTCTTTTGCAACTTGGTATAAAGTTTCAATTTTTTTCTGATTTCCCAATAAATTATGTTGTGGTTTGGGTTTGGGTTGCAATGAATATTAGATCAATTTGAAGAAATTAAGATTATAATAATATTGACTTTCCAAAATAATGACACAATGCATTTTTTACTTATTTTGGTCTCTGGTTTCTCTCAGTAATGCTTCATATGAGAGGTGGTAAACAACTTTCATTAGATTTCTTCCTGAGTAGCTCAGATTTTATGATACTGTAAATGGTCTTGTCTTCTTAAAAATACCTTCTTCAGATAGTGTCTTCATATAATCTGGTCTGACCTAGAACCCATTCTAAAGCTAAAGTTGCCCTGAACTCACAGAAATTCTTTGCTTCAACCTCTCAAATGCTGAGATTATAGGCATGTAGTAACAAATTTGATAAAATTATTTCTAGTTGTTTGCTGATAATTATATACACATGCACAGATTTTGTTTAATTTTATCCAGCACTTTGTTGTGTTTACTTAAATATATTTTAAATAATTTGTAGATTCTTTTGGATAGTGAATAGTCTTGTTATCATTCATTTTGATGTGCAATCAAGAGAAATGGCAAAAACTTGTATTGTTTTATTGGCTTCTGGAACTTCCCTGACAACTTGGGGAAATGTTTCACACCCCTGGCATTTGAATTTTTGTTTAATAACCTATAGCTTCTGGGAAAAGCTTTTTCCAGCAATGGAGGGTACCTATTTTTTCACTTTCTCTTTTTAAAATAAATAAATAAATCTATTTATTTGTTTATTTGTTTTGTTTTTTCAAGACAGGGTTTCCCTGTGTAGCTCTGGCTGTCCTGGAATTCTTTTTGTAGATCAGGCTGGTCTCAAACTCAGAGATCTGCCTGCCTCTGCCTCCTTAGTGCTTGGATTGAAGGCATGTGCCACTACTGCACAGATGAAATAATATTTTTAACGTTGCAACAAGATAGCAAGTTTCCATATGGCTTTCTCATTCCAATACTTTGGGGCATTGGGTATCATTTTCTTTTACTATGATGCCTTTGCTATTTGTACCAGGATCATAACTGTCTGAATAAGTTAGAAAGTGTCTTTACCTCTTCAATGTTGTGGGAGGCTTTGTCAATGATTGGCACTAATTTTCCCTTCAATATTTAATGGCTTTTCCCAATTGAAGGCATCTGTTCCAGACAGACTGGGGAGCTCGATATGGAGGAGAGGAGAGAGAGTGAAGATCTAAAGCTCACTTACCTGATCAGTTGGCCTACTTGCTTCTTTGGCAGGCTTGGGTGGTGGGTTCCCAGAGAATGCCTGTTGGAGTTGGGGGCTGGGACAACAGAATGAGTGGGGAGGAAGGTTGGAGGATTAAGATCTGCCAGATTCACTGGAGATGAGGACAGAAAGGGGGGGCACAGCAGGTGGTCTGCTATAGATGGGGGATGAGCTAAGGGGGTTGGATTCGAGGAGCTGAGGGAGCTTTGTAGATCTACAGTTAGGTTACCTGCTTCCCTTGTAGGAGTGGCCTGTGGGTTTCCATGGAATGACTGCTGGAGTTGGGGGCTGGGAAAAGTAATGAGTGTGGGGAGAGAAGTTTGGAGGGGGAAGATCTGTGTGATCCACTGGAGTTGAGGGGTTAGGGAGGGAAGCCACAGCAGGCGGTCTGCTGTAGATCTGGGCTTGTAACTAGGTGTACTGACTAGTCTTGTGTGACAATTTGCCACAAGCCAGAGGCATCAGAGAAAGGAGCCTCAGTTGGGGAAATGCCTCCATGCCAGCTGTAAGGCATTTTCTCAATTAGTGATTAATGGGGGAGGGCCCAGCCCACTGTGGGTGGTGCAATCCCTGGGCTGCTGGTCCTGGCTTCTATTAGAAAGCAGGCCAGACTGTGTTCCTGGGTTCTATAAAAAGCAGGTTGGGCAAGCCACAGTAAGCAAACCAGTAAGCAGCATCCTTCCATGGCCTCGGTATCAACTCCTGCCTCAGGGATCCTATCCTGTTTGAGTTCCTCTCCTGACTTCAGTGATGAACCTGAATGCTAATAAACCCTTTCCTCCCCAACTTGCCTTTTGGTCATGGAGTTTCGTCTCAGCAATCAAAACCTAACTAAGACACTAGGTGACTAGATTTGGAGGAATGGAGAGAGAGAAGATCTGCAGTTAGCCTACCTGCTACAGATATCATTCACCTCTTTTTTATTCATAAATATAGATTTTATAGTACTTGTATTTCTTTAGTTAGTTTTTTGGTTTTTTGAGACATGGCTTCCCTGTGCAGTTTCGTAGCCTGTCCTGGAACTCACTCTGTAGACCAGGTTGACCGCAAACTCCCAGAAGTCTGCCTGCCTCTATCTCCAGAGTTCTGGGATCAGAGGCGTGCACCACCACTGCCTGGCAGACTAGTACTTTTAGTAGAATGTTGAGTAAAACTGGTGAGAGAGGAAGCCCTCATTCATCTTTTCCACATTCAATGTGATGTTACCTGTGCTTTTGTCACAGATGGGCTTTGGTGAACTGATGTTCATTCCTTCTGTGCCTAAATTCAATGACCTTACTAGCTGTCTTAGTTAGGTTTTCTATTGCTGTAAAAAGACACCATGACCACAGCAACTCTTATAAGGAAAACATTCATATTTTCTATTTCTTCATGGTTCAGTCCTGGTAGATTATATGTTTCCTTATATATTTATTTTATGTGCATTACTTTTTTCCTATGAGTGTTGGGTCCTCTGGAACTGGAGTTACAGTTGTGAACCAACATGTGGGTGCTGGAAGACCAATCAGTGCTCTCTTAATTGGTGAGCCATCTCTCCAACTCAGATGATAGATTTATTGTAATCTATTTCTTCTGTGATACCCAAATTATGTTCTATAATGTGTTCATATTCTTCTTTTTTTTAAAGATTCATTTATTTATTATGTATACAGTATTCTGCCTGCATGTATGTCTGCAGGTCAAAAGAGTGCACCAGATCTCATTGTAGATGGTTGTGAGTCACCTTGTGGTTGCTGGGAATTGTACTCAGGACCTTTGGAAGAGCAATCAGTGCTCTTAACCTCTGAGCCATCTCTCCAGCCCATATTCTTCTTCTTTTACACCAATTTTGTTTATGGTGGAAACATCAATTTTTAATACTGATTTCACATAGCCATCTGACCTTTCCAATGTGTTTAGCATTTGGCACAGCTATGCATCTCTGAATACCTCCTCCACCAGCAGGAAGAAGAGAGGGCAAATTAATCATACCAAGCAACCAACAGGAGGCATTAGTGGAAGTCTAACCCTAATGATCAGGAAAGAATATGTGGTGGTCTGAATGATAATGGCCCCCACAGGCCCATAGGGAGTGGCACTATTAGGATGTGTGGCCTTGTTGGAGTAGGTGTGGCCTTGTGGGAGGAAATCTGTCACTGGGGGGTGGATTTTGAGGTTTCAGATGCTCAAACCAGGCTCATTGTCACTCTCCCTGCTGCTTGAGGATCCAGATGTGAAACTCTCAGATACATCTCTGGTACCATGTCTGCCTGCTTGCTACCATGCTTCCTATCATGCCGATAATGGAATAAACCTCTGAACTAGAAGCCATCCCCAATTAAATGCTTTCTTTTATAAGAGTTGCCATGGTCATGGTATCTCATCACAGCAATAAAACCCTAACTAATACAGAATCTTTTATGAAGGACTGGCGTGTTGCTGTAATAGGCCTGACCTTGTTTCTATTTAGAGAACTGTGAACTTGGGACTTCGGGTCAGAAAATAACTGAATGTTTTAAGTGGGCCTGAATGGGCCATACTAGTAGAAGCATGGGAGACAGTGGTGCTGAGGGTGAATTGAACTTGGGGGCCCAGCTCAAGAGCTTTCCGAGGAGAAGAATATTAGTTTGTGGCCTACAGACTTACTGTTCTTGTGATATTTTGGTGAAAAATATGGCTGCTTTTTGCTTTTGCCAAAAAATATGTCTGAGTCCAAATTGAAGAGTCATGTATTAAGAGCTTTGGTAGAGGACATTTCAAAACAACCTAGCATTGCTGTATTGCTTGGTTATTGGTGATCAGTCTTATGCAGGTCTATCATGAAAAGGAGGAAGCTGAGTAAGAAAAAATACAAAATGGTACAGTTTAAGGTAAAAAGGGAGTACCAGGAAAAAGTTTAAAGAAAAGCCCAAAGCTGAATGGAATACAGGGAGTGGTGGCCTCAGGGCAGGATCCCACCCAAGTAAGCTGCCAACTTGCAAAAAGGAATAAAAGAAAAGTTTAGGTCCAAGCATGGAGATACACCAATACTTCAGAGGCAGATGCAAGCATATCTCTGAATTCAAAACCAGACTTGTTTACAAAGTAAGTTCCAGGACAGCCTAAATACAGGCTGTGAAGAAAACCATGGAAAACAGAGAGCTGATGAAGATGTAATTAAATGAGAGGGCCATGTTCTAGGCCCAGCAAGCTGCAGAACTTGGCAACTTCAGCCATGTGGTTCTGACTTTAGAGTCAAGAATCGAAGAAATGGGTTATGGAATCTCCCTCTGAGGCTAAGGAAAGCCACTGAGGCCAGACGTGTGTCAGAGATGTCCCTGCATAGAGGGGCCATTGTATAAAGCTATGATGGCAAAGCCTGGATTACCTCCGAGATCCCAAATTGTTGGAGATGCCAGAGCCATGGGATACCTGCTGAGTGTTAAATAGGCATCTCATCCATTTGTCCCAGGGTTTGAGATTTAATATCTCAGCCATTTTGTTGGTAATAAATAATCCGGCGTGATACAATCATCTATGACTCCTTTCTGTTGGCATTGGGGCATCATTGTTGGGGACCCAAGAAAGCTGAAATGCTCGCTGAGACCTGGAAGAGCAGGTCACTTTATTGGCTGTCCAGACTCTGCAGACCTTCTGGGGTCAGGGAAGTATAGGCCAATTTGGAGCACCAGTCTGTGAGACTAGACCACCTGTGCCTAGCTACTTTGGAGCCATCTAGGATGCAGATTCCAAGGGAAGCCCTGGAGCTGACTAGTTACTGGAGCAGTCTGTAATTGATTTGAAATCTGCCAGATTGGACAGACTATGGACAGAAGGGGTTAGGCAGTCCATGGAAAATCTTTTTACAAGAAATTTTTTAAATGTCCAAAAAGAGATAAAGGTTGTAGATGTATTTTACATATGATGAGAAATGAGAAGGCAGCTGAAGGCTTGGGGGAGGAGTTAGTATGCTTGGTGCTGTTAAACTGACAAAGCTATTATTGGCCTAGTTGTCAACACCATTAGAGACCCAAGAAGGATGTTTTATAGGTAGAGATATAATTCTAACAGCCTATGCTTCAGTTGAAATGAGAGACTTCCCCACTACCTAGATGGTTGTCCTAGGCTCCTGTGGACTTGATAGTTGGGTTGCAGTGGTCTTCAGCTGTCATACAATTGCCACATAGACTGTCAGGCCCAGGTCTAGGAGAATTTCCTGAGGAGGATGAACTTTGGAAAACTGACTTTACTTTGACGAGGCACAGTCGGGCAATCGACTCAAAATTTTCCTGTTTGTATCGAGTCCTGATGGCAGGCAAGGTACAGGGCAGTTTGCCCAATGGTTAGCCTTACCACAGTCCAGGTGGAGTCATAATTGTGCCCCATCATGTTCTTTGGGGATCTTGGATTCACTGATATCTGGGGTCTCTGTCTGTTACAATAAACTCTTCTCATTAAACATCTTAAATGTTTAATTCAGCAGATCCATCTGAAAAGTTTTGAGGACTATTATTATGTCTAAGTATATCTAAACTAAGCAAACTTTTTGTTTGTTTTCAGTTACTTGTTTTATGCTGAACATATACAGGAGGCTAAGTAAAAGGTATTCCTGTAATTAATTACATTAGGTTTTAGGATGATTACAAGGACTACAAGTGGGCAAATACATAAGTAGTTACACAGACATCACTGGACGGTCCCTTAACCAGATTATGCTGACTGCACATTCTGGTAGCTTTTCCTGTCCTGGGGTGCTGCCACCTCAGGGAGTAGATGTGGAAGACTTGCCTACAGCCACGTTAGGCACAGCCACTGCCAATTATGATACTCCAGGTTCTCTGCTCAGTGCTAGCAGCAACAGCACCTGCAAAGTCCTTTGGCACGTTTGCTTGATGCTTTCATCCTTACAGATGGCAAAAATGACACTTTTTATGCATTTTCCCTGTGTATGCTTGATAGTCTGCTGTTCTGAGAGGTGCAGAAAGTCTGTTTTGTTAAGGACAAGCAAGGGAAGCTTTAGCTCAGGGGTCTTCTGGAGCCCAGTTCAGTGACTTGAATGTGAGATTCAGTAGTTAGGAGCCTCTTCAAGCCTGTGCCAGCTTCACACTGTTCTGCACATCCCTCAGTCCCTCGGCCATGTAGTCCAGTATCCAGCAGGGTCTATCTATCGCTGGAAACACTGGCTTCAAGTGGCACAAGGAGCTTTTATCTAGTTCGTAACAATTTGTTGGTGTCCCCTTCATTTTTTGAATCAATTGAAATGTTTCTTCTTTCATCTCTGATGTTTACTATTTGGGACTTTTCTCTGTTTTCTTTTTAAACAGTATGGGAGTTAATGAGATAAAAATCTAATATTCAGCCTGGTCTACAGATTGACTTCAAGGACAGCGATGACTGTTACACAGAGAAAGCCCATCTCAAAAAATAAAAAGTCTAATCCTTTGATTAGAACTAGAAGTTTTTACTGTCCTGTCTTTGATC